ATATATATATATATATATAATTTAAGACTTTCTTTCAGATTTATTATTTGATAAAACAAATTATATAATAAATGCAAATATTTATAATCTTTATATTTACGGTAATAATAATTTAACAAAAAGCATGCTTACAATATAGTTGTCTTTGTTTCAATTTTAGTCTTGCTGATTCTAATTTTAGTTTATTTATAGTTGTAAGATTCCTCTTCCCATCATTACATACAAAGGCGACTAGATACAATCCACTATCAATTATAATTTTGGCAATATCTTTGACCCACTCAATAAGTTGATCAGTTTTTGTTGTACCGTCACAAAAATAATACGCCAATGGAAATTTCCATCCACTTTGTACGCCACGAATCATAAAAACTAACACGTGATCAGCAAATCTTGCTCTCCTCTTATTGCCAAAATCTTCAAAACCAAGAATATATTTCTTTTTTGCATCATAATCTACGTGAGGTTGCAATAACATTTCGTCCCACATTAAAAGACACACTTTATCTCTCTCTTTCATTAATTTTACTTTCTTTTTTAGATATTTATTTATAAAATTATTTGGACCTGGATGAATATTAATCGTCTGAAGTATAGATCGTAATGTTTCTATGCTGGGCAGATTAAAAACTTGTGTCAGATATTGATAACATTTACTAGATTGTTTCATGATAGATAAAGCAGCAATCTTTTCAGTCAATGTAAAATGTCTATCCTATAAATAAAATTAGATCAATCTATCATAAATTGATATTTTCTTATTATAATATTCCACTTACATACCTCAGAGGCATATTTTGTCGTTTTTATCTGCATCTGGAGAAAAGCTTGTTCAACAGGCGTTAATGAAGACAATAGCTTTTCTATAGCAGTACTTTTGCTGCATTGCTTAGCTTGCCTTATACGTTCACGAAATGATAACTGCCTCTTTACAACAACCTCTTGTTTCTTTCTTAATATACATGATAATTTGTACAACTTCCACATTTTTGGCGTAAATTTATGAAAACACTTTTCATGCAGTAAGTTATGCAGGTCTGACAAGCTGGATGTCGAATTTTTGGGCAAGGAAGGCTCTAACTTTAAAGAATCTTTATTTATTGGAGAACTTTGTAAAAATTCTTCATTTATTGGAGTACTTTGTGATATTTCTTTATTTATTGGAATATTCTGTGACATCTCTTCATTTATTGGAATACTTTGTGATACTTCTTTACATATTGGAATACTCTGTAATTCTCTAATTATTGGAATACTTTCTAAAGCTTCTATTGCAGGTTGTGTCTCTTTTTTTATTTCTATTATTTCAATTTCTTCAAGTTGACCAATTGCATTCGTATCTAATGTTTTGCTCTTAGAGCCTCTTGTACTTACAATGCTATAAGTATGAGTCTCAGTGTTATGATCATTAACTATCTCATTGTCTTCACTTCTATTATTTGCTTCAATGTTGTTATTACCATTATTTGGCAGATATAAGGACGGTATAACACCAGGTTTCAATCTTCGTAATCTATACATTGCTTCATAATCACTATCGGCAAAATGTCTGTAGCATACAACGCACTTTCTTAATTGTTCATCAGTTAAATCTTGTATTTTCTCTGAATAAATCGCCTTTTTCCATTTATTCATCATGATAACATCTTTGGGAAACATGTGGGAAGGTAGGCTCACCCCCGTGGAACATCCCAAAACGCAGCAATGTCTACCCATAACCTGAAACGTTAAGTATTATTATATATATCTATTTTATAATATCGTACACGATTTTATTAATATTTATACTTACTATAATTGCAGACAGTGACGGGTGGATTGACTGAATAAGGCAAAACCAGCAAAGCAATGTTAAGTGAAAAAAATTACTAAAAGTCAAGGCACGCATTTAGCGGAGATACGAACCAAATAGCGGTAAATTTCCATTTACATCGGACGAGATATATACTATTACTATGTAGAAGAACGTCGGTCTTTACTTAGACGGCGTTCACTTTATCGCTCACAGCGCTTGTGAGTATCAATTGTCCTTGTTTAATGTTTATTAAACAACAAGAATGAAACGACGCTTAAAGCGTCATTATGAACGCAAAAGCGAACACAGCCTTAATATAGTGTAATTATCTCAAAAAGTAATTGAATTACTTGGAAATAATTGGAGAACACACTGACATATTATCAATTGTTTTGACTATTCGAAATCGATTAAAGACGGTTAATCATATTTAAGTTTATTATTATTATGTCGTTTTCTTATTATTATTATTAAATTGTTCCAAATTTCTTAATTTATACTTATAATTTATAATTAAACTGATATTATTAATATATAAATGTTGATATTAATGACAATATTTAATTTAATATTGTAATCATAAAAATTTTTTTTTTCATTTTTGTACGAATTGGAACATTTTTCAGAAATACTCAGAAATATTCGAAAAGTTTACATCTTCTCTCAGAATTTTTCGTACAAGTGAATTCTGAAATATTCTGAAATTTCTCATCTCATAATTTTAAAAAAATATTTAAAAATTTTTCAAATTTTATAACACTTTATCAGAAATTATACTTACAAAAAATCTTAGAAATTTTACGATATTTCATAATTAATATATATATGAAAAATTCTGAGAAAAGATGTAGATTTTCTGAAAAGTTCAATTCGTACAAAAAATGTGAGAAAGTTATAAAATTATATTAAAAATTCTGAAAAATTATATAAAAAATTCTGAAAAAAATTTTCATCATTCATTTCAAATTTTCATATTAAATTATATAATGTTTAATTCATAAATGATAATATTAATGAAATGATAATATTATACCATTTAGTTAGCGTATCCTTTAACTTATCACGAACTGTGTACTTATGGAATTCTCCTGGAGTAACAAATTGATGTACTTTTCTCATCTATACTTCAATTGTACACTCGTCAATTAAAAGGTTGCAACACTTTTTTCGAAATCATTTTTTTCCGATGAATTTCGGAACTCAGTCTTGTTCGTAAAGCGGTTGAATCTAAAAAGTACCTTTAGATTTTAGATCCAAGGAAGGACAAATCGCTCGATGAACAGTCTGCATTCCAAAACCTAACAGAAAAAGTGCAACTTTTTAATTAAATCAATATATCTTCAAAAACATCTACATTTTCTGTTATAAACATCTTCGTATTAAGAATATTCTTTAGCATGCACATTCTTTTAATTTAATTAAATAGTGGCATTATGTTTGCTGTATATCAATTATAAATCTTTGTTTCTTCATTATATTTTAATAGTATATAACAATTTAGCTATTTCTAATGATTTCATTTTATTATCATCAAAACTTTCTAATATTAAATGAGTACTAATTTAACTCTTGACATTTTAACTTTATTAATTTCTTTTAGTAAAAAAAGGGAAAAGTTTTTTAATTATGAACCATTATATAAGCATTATAAAAATTTAATAGTATCTATTAAGCAATTTTTAAATGTTTTATTATTAATTTTTGATAAAATTAATTATTTAAAATAAATTTAATAAAAACAAATTTCATCAATTCTATTATATAGCCGGACGGCCGGAGAGGCAAAATTATAGATTAAAATTATAAATTTATTTATATGGCTGTTTCTTTTTTGGCTGCATTTTTTATTTTGACGATAAATATTAGATTAATTGTCAATAGGATGATGCAAAGAATGTTGCTGAGAATGTATTGAAAATTATTTGAGAATATTCTTGTAGATAGAAATGATCATAACAAGATTATGACAAAACAGTATAAGCTAAATATAATAGATAATGAGAGAGGAGGAAGAAGAAAAATAGAAGTAGAGGGATAAAAACGGATTGCTAAGTAAAGTTCGATAGGCGAAGTAGATAAGTACGAAATATTTAGTTTTTAAGTAAAATAATATTTTCTCTGTATTTACATAGTCTCTTACGCTTTTGTTAATTCACAAACATACATACACTTGCGCTCGAAATGTACATAATCACCGCAAGTATTATCACAATGTAAACAACATAATAAATTTCAATAATCATTTAATAATTTTTATCATAATTTTTATAAATTGTGATATTAGGCGAAACTCTGCTTCACTTTTTTAGTAACGATCCGCGAATTTTGTAACGCATAAGTCCGAAGCTGGAAAAGAACTTCCGTCAACATCCCCTTATATCCCTTACGTTTAGCGAGATAAGCTTGGTATAAAATAATGTTTATATTTGTTTCAGAACTTTTTGTCAATCGATACGACCGCTCACTAACTTCAATATCAAACGGGACCTTCTTATAATTTCAGTTATTTAATTATTAAATTTCTCTTTTTTGTATATATATGCGTTCATCTTCATAAATCAATACCGTCCGATCCAGGCCTATTGTATTGTAAATACGGTAACTTAATATCTTTAATAGTTAAACTTATCTGATATAATATAGATAGCTCACAATAATAAAAAAAAATACAAAATTATTTAATCGATATAAACTACGTATTACGATTAAAACACAAAATAATTTAATTCTTATAATAAGCTTATGTGTGTGATAGAAACTATTTTCTGTGACTAAAAAAAGAAAATTCAGTTCCTTATGGATAAATATAAATTTTACGGTCTTTTACGGTATCAATTTTAAACCAGAAAATAAAATCTGCCGAACACATATAAAATTGAAATAAATTATGTTAATCCTTTCGTACCTCTGAGTTTCCCAAAAGAGATACGTTTTATATGAAGACAGTTTTGGGAGTTCTGTGTGCAAGTCTAAATTTACTATCAAAATTTAAATTCAAAATGATGATTAGATCACTGAAATGTCATATGTTTAAAATATAAACTTGGATTTTATTTTTTTAAATATATATCGTACATACACACATATATACACACACACACACACACGCA